AAAAAAAAAAAAAAAAAAAAGTACTGCTTAGTTTGGTCTTGACATTTTGTTACTTAACTACAGTATTTGAAAGGAAGGGGGCCGGCCGGGCACAGTGGCTCACACCTGTAATACCAGCTCTTCGGGAGACTGAGGTGAGTGGATCACCTGAGGTCAGGAGTTCAAGACCAGCCTAGCCAACATGGTGAAACTCCGTCTCTACTAAGAATACAAAAATTAGCCGGGCATGGTGGTGTACGCCTATGGTCCCAGCTACTCAGGAGGCTGAAGCAGGAGAATTGCTTGAACCTGGGAGGCAGAGGTTGCAGTGAGCCAAGATCATGCCACTGCACTCCAGCCTGGGCGACAGAGTAAGCAAGACTCCATCTCAAAAAAAAAAAGGAAAAGAACATTTACTTTATCCACTATTACCAAGTGGATGCTGGAGTAGGTGCTTTCGCTGTGTGATCTTATTTAACCGTTAAAAAAAGACATGCATTAATAACTAAACTAGAAATTTAATATCCACAGCCACCATATTTTGAGTAAGCTAGACTACAAATTAGTTATCTAGGACCACCATAGTTCTCTATGCAGTCCATTAGCAATCTACAAATTACTTTTCCAAAAATGCTGGCTTTACCTCATTTGTGACCTTTGCTCCAAAAAGCCAACCTGCTCCTCGCGGACTGATAGCCCAAGTATCCACATCTTCAGGATCTGACCAAACCAGATCACAAAATGCTCCTTTATGAGGAATTTCCTGATTCCGTTCGATGGTTCGAATTTGATCCAGTGTTTTGATATCAGGAGATAAACCACCATGGACACACAAAATCTGCTCATCTATTAACTAGCAAAAAAGGATAACAAAGAGTTGAACATATAACCTCAGGCATATCTAAATTCATCAATGAATACTAAAGATATCAACATAATTGAGATGACAACTAGATAAAAATATGCAATGTGTTATTGGCAGGAACATACATGAGACTTTAAAAATAGAAACTTACAGCTGCTACTGTGAGCATGTCAAAAACTTTGGTACAGTATCTCCAGGCATTAGCATTTCCATATTTGGTTTGGCACTCATCTGTGAAAGAAACAGAAGGGTTTTAATTAATGAATCTGCCAATAAAAATAAACAATATATCCAATACTAGAGCAGCTTTCAGTATAACAGAAATTCAGCTTAAACTAGGACAGCAAGATATGACACATATTTAGTCCTACTAGGACCTCCACATAGAGCCAAAAGAACACTAGTGACTAACTATATACAGTTATATGTCCCTTAATCATGGGGATACATTCTGAAAAATGCATTGTCAGGTGATTTCGTCATTGTGTGAACATCATCACATATCCTTACTAACCCAGATGGTCTAGCCTACTACACACCTAAGCAATATGATATAGCCTATTGCTTCTAGGCTATAAACTTGTGAAGCATGTCACTGTACTAAATATCGTAAGGAAATAGTAACACAAGGGTAAGTATTTGTGCAATAGGAATTTTTCAACTGCGTTATATCTACGGGACCACTGTTGTATATACAGTCCATCATTGACTGAAATGTCATTATGTGGCACATGACTGTATTTCCTAAGGATGTAGTACTGCTCTTCATTCCTGGAATGGACCTAAGAAGCAGCTGAAATTATTAACCAAAATGCTATCATTAGAAGAGTCAAATACAAATTTCACACAACCTGAAGCAAATGTTTTTACAGTTATGTTAATATTAGGTAATTCTGGTAAACAGATAAATTTAGTTAAGGAGACCATTCTAGCAGGATAAGCAGATCAAACAAATTAGAGGACCCTTAGTTATAGGAACATGAGCAATTCCTAACTCTTCTCAGGGCTAAGTTGTCTCTTCTGAGATTTTCTGCAAATTGTCCAACTAAACACTTGAGCTTCAGTGGATCACAACTGAGGACAGACTGCCAGTCAGGTTCTTACAAATTCCCAGTTGAACACTCTTTCTGCTGCCTCCATAGCTTTTTGTTTTTGAGATAAGGTCTCACTCTGTCGCCCAAGTCGGAATACAGTGGCGCAATCAGCAGTGGCAAGATCACAGCTCACTGTAACCTCAACCACTTGGGCTCAAGCGATCCTACCACCTCAGCCTTCCGAATAGCTGGAACTACAGGCATGTGCCACCACACCTGACTAATTTTATTTCTGGTAGAAATGGGGGTCTCCCTATGTTGTCTAGGCTGGTCTTGAACTCTTGAGCTCAAGCAATCCTCCTACCTCAGCCTACCACAGTGCTGAGATTACAGGTGTGAGCCACTATACCCTGACTGTCTACATAGTTAACAGGGTACACACTTCTTCTGTTAACACCATGGAAGCTCTGCACTTTGACTTCTTCCATAATTTTAGAAAAAAAAAAACCTGACATACCACTATTGCCTTAAGTGAAGCTGAAAATGATATAGGAAAGAAGTCTGCAGGTTATGACCACTCCCCAAGATTTTCTCAATTATATATCTATGTGAAGCAAGATTGTTATGTAAACTTGGCATAAGAGAGCCCTAACAATGAGCTCAGGTTGCAGGCAGGGATCTTGAGCTTGGCTCTATAGTAACTGCCCAGCATGTGTTTATCAGTGTGAACTGAAGGCCCAGTGTAAAGTTATATAGGGATATCTTATTCCTTTAAAATCAATGTAAGTCTTATAATAACTAAAATTATCTTATTCCCGAGGAGCTGTTAAGCTTCATTTTATTAAACAAAACCATACAACACCACTACAAGAACAGAGCTCTGGGAACAAGAAAGTTCAATACTAGATTTTGTGTTGCTGTCATTTTCCTCAGTCAAGGCACCTTGATTAAAATGTCCTCCTTCCTCACCCCATTTTTTCCCCTTTAGCCCTACACTGATGAAAGCTGGGCGAATTCTGGAGTATAACTGCATATATAAAAACAGTCACATATAAAAAACATATGTCATATATTAGTCATAT